ATTTCCAGAGTGATTTTACCAGCTTACAATCTGGTTAAGAGACTTTTAATGGCTGCTCCTATTTCATTAGGGTTTATGGGTCTGTTTAGATGGTTTATCTGATCCTGATTTAACGTTGGTTCCTGAGATCTGTGTAAAAATTTATCAACTTCATCAAGATTTTCCAGTTTTGTTGAGTATAGGCTTTTGTAGTAGGAACTGAGGGTTTTTTTTTTTCAATTCAGTTTCCATTGTTATGTCTCCCTTTTCATTCCCTGTTTTGTAAATTTGGATCCTGTCTCTGGGCCCTCAGGTTAGTCTGGCTAAGAGTTTATCTATCTTACTGATTTTCTCAAAGAACCAGTTCCTGGTTTTGTTGATTCTTTGTACAGTTCTCTTTTTACTTGGTTGATTTCAGCCCTAAATTTGATCATTTCCTGCCATCTACTCCTCTTGGGTACATTTGCTTCTTTTTCTAGAGCTTTCAGATGTGCTATTAAGCTGCTAGTGTGTGCTGTCTCCAATTTCTTTATGTAGGCACTCGGAGCTATGAGTTTTCCTCTTAGTACTGTTTTTGTTGTGCTAAGTTTCATTCATATGTTTGGGTATGTTGTGTCTTCATTTTTGTTAAGTTCTAAAAAGTCTTTTATTTCTTTATTTCTTTCCAGACCAAGTTATCATTGAGTAGAGAGTTGTTCAGCTTCCATGTGTATTTGGGCTTTCTGTTGTTTTAGTTGTTATTGAAGACCAGCCTTAGTCCGTGGTGATCTGATAGGATGCATGGTATTATTTCAACCTTTTTGTGTCAGTTGAGGCTTGTTTTGTGACCAATTATACAGTCAATTTTGTAGAAGGTACTATGAGGTGCTGAGAAGAATGCATATTTTTTTGTTTTAGGATGAAATGTTCTGTAGCTATCTGTTAAATCCATTTGGTTCATGGCATCTGTTAGTTTCACTGTGTCTCTGTTTAGTTTCTGTTTCCATGATCTGTCCATTGGTGAGAGTGGGGTATTAAAGTCTCCCACTATTATTGTGTGAGGTTTAATGTGTGCTTTGAGTTTCTTTTATGAACATCGGTACCCTAGTGTTTGGAGTACAGATGTTCATTATTGAGAGTTCATCTTGGTAGATTTTTCCTTTGAGGTGTATGAAGTGTCCTGCCTTGTCTTTTTCGATAACTTTTGGTTGAAAGTCGATTTCATTCGGTATTAAAATGGCTACTCCAGCTTCTTTCTTGGGACCATTAGCTTGGAAATTCTTTTTTCAGCCTTTTACTCTGAGATAGTGTCTGTCTTTGTCACTGAGATGTGTTCCCTGTATGCAGCAAAATGCTGGGTCTTCTTTACATATCCAGTCTGTTAATATATGTCTTTTTATTGGGGAATTGAGTCCAGTGATATTAAAAGATATTAAGGACTAGTGATTATTGCTTCCTGTTATTTTTATTGTTAGAGGTGGAATTAGATTTGTGTGTCTATCTTCTTTTGGGTTTGTTGAAAGAAGATTACTTTCTTGCCTTTTCTTGGGTGTAGTTTTCCTCCTTGTGTTGGAGTTTTCCATCTATTATTCTTTGTAGGACTATATTTATTTTGTCATGGAATATCTTGATTTCTCCCTCTATGGTAATGGAGACTTTTGCTAGGCTGGCATTTGTGTTCTCCTAGGATCTATATGACATCTCTTGGCTTTTAGAGTCTCTGTTGAGAAGTCTGGTGTAATTCTGATACATGTGCCTTTATATGTTACTTGACCTTTTTCCCTTACTGCTTTTAATATTCTTTCTTTGTTCTGTGCATTTGGTATTTTGATTATTATGTGATGGGAGGAATTTCTTTTTCTGGTTCATTCTATTTGGAGTTCTATAGGCTTCTTGTATGTTTATGGGCATCTCTCTCTTTAGGTTAGGAGAGGTTTTCTTCTATAATTTTGTTGAAGATATTTACTGGCCCTTTAAATTGGGAATCTTCACTCTCTTCTATACCTATTATCTTTGGGTTTGGTCTTCTCATTATGTCCTGGTTTTCCTGAATGTTTTGGATTAGGAGATTTTTGCATTTTGCATTTCTTTGACTGTTGTGTCAATGTTTTCTATGGTATCTTCTGTACCTGAGGTTCTCTCTTCTATCTCTTGTATTCTGTTGGTGATGCTTGTCTCTATGACTCCTGATCTCTTTCCTAGGTTTTCTATCTCCAAGGCTGTCTCCCTTTGTGATTTCTTTATTGTTTCTACTTCCATTTTTAGATCCTTGATGGTTTTGTTCAATTTCTTTACCCATTTGGTTGTGTTCTCCTGTATTTCTTTAAGGGAGTTATTTATGTTCTTCTTAAAGTCCTCTATCATCATCATAAAACATGATTTTAGATCAGAATCTTGCTCTTCAGGTGTAAAAGTTGGGGTATCCAGGGCTTGCTATGGCGGAAGAACTGGATTCTGATGATACCAAGTAGCCTTGGTTTCTGTTGCTTATGTTCTTGCGCTTGCCTCTCGACGTCTGTTTATCTCTGATGTTAGCTGCTCTTTCTGTCTCTGACTGGAGCTTGTCCCTCTTGTGAGCCTGTGACTCCATGATCTTTTGTGTGTCAGCAGTCCTGGGAGACAAGCTCTCTCCAGGTGGGATTGGAGTTTGGATAGCTATGATCTTAGGTGTGTCAGCACTCCTTGGAGACCGGCTCTCTGTGATTTTCGGGGTGTCAGCACTCCTGGGAGACCAGCTTTCTCTGGGCTGAATTGGGCTGTGGAGAGTTGTTGCCCAGGCTCAGGTCTCGGGCATAGATGGAAACGAAGGATTGTGTCCCTAGCTGCTCATGGTTCCTGGATCTTGTGTTCTCTGGGCGGGTCCCACTTGGGCCTGGTATTGGGGCAGTAGTGATAGTCTCACATCTTAGGTGTGTCAACACTCCTGGGAGACCTGCTCTCTTGGGTTGGATTCTGTAGGTTTTTCATATGTAAGCTTCATTATGTCAAAGTCTGATCTTCCTTAGGACTTTCAAGTTTTTGAGACCCAGTCTCATTACCCTGTAGCCCTCTTTTGCCTGGAACTCAGAGAGTTGGTCCTTTTTGTCCTTGATTCTGTTTATACATTTTTTTAAACACTTATTGAATTCTGTATGCTGAAAGATCCTTCCATTATAGAATTAAATATCAAAGTAACATGGTCACTCATGATCTATTTAATATATTGTTGAATTTGGTCCCAAGGATTTTGTTAAAGATTGTCTGCCTTGCTTGTTCTTTGACTATTTGTGTTTATTGTCTTGCTTGTTCCTTAACTATTTGCATCTATTGTGTTGCTAGTTCCTCAACCTAGAACTGACCTTAATACTTGCATGTAATTAAAATGATATAAAAACAGATTTGGGAAAAAGATTGTCATCTGTGTTAATCTGGAAAATTGGTTTATAGTTTTACTGTTGTATCTATGTCTGACTTTAATATCAGGTAATCTTACCTCCTATACCGGCTGGTTTTGTGTGTCAACTTGACACAAGCTGGAGTTACCACAGAGAAAGTAGTCTCCCTTGAGGTAATGTCTCCATGAGATCCAGCTGTAAGGCATTTTCTCAATTAGTAATCAAGAGTGGAGAGCCCCTTGTAGGGGGTGCCACCCCTGGGCTGGTAGTCCTGGGTTCTATAACAAAGCAAGCTGAGCAAGGCAGGGGAAGCAAGCCAGTACGTAGCATCCCTCCATGGCCTTTGCTCCTGCTTCCTGACCTCCTTGAGTTCCAGTCCTGACTTCCTTTGATGATGAACAGCAATGTGGAAGTGTAAGCTAAATAAACCCTTTCCTCCCCAACTTGCTTCTTGGTTGTGATGTTTTGTGCAGGAATACAAACTCTGACTAAGACACCTCCATATGTGGGATGGGGCCACCCACTCATCTCAATATTTTTAACCCAGAATTGTTCCTATCTAAAGGAAATGTGTGGGGGCGGGGGGAGGAAATGGAGTAGAGACTGAAAGAAAGGCCATTCTGAGACCTTCCCAACTTGGGATCCATCCCAAGACCAGACACCAAACCCAGATACTTTTGCTGATGCTAATATGTTCTTGCAGACAGGAGCCTAGCATGGCTGCCCTCTCAGAGGCTTTACTAGCAGCTGACTGAGATAGTTGCAGACATTTAGCGCCAACCTTTGGGGGGAGGTCTGAAGGAGCTGAAAGGGGATTGCAACCCCATAGGAAGAACAACAGTATCAACTAATCAGACCACTCAGAACTCCCAGAGGCTAAGCCACCAATCAAAGAGCATACATGGGCTGGTTTCCACCCCCACCCCCTAATTATGTAACAGAGGACTGCCTTGTCTGGCCAGAGAAGGGGGATGCTAGAGGGCTGGGGTGGGAGTGGGTGGGTAAGTAGGGGAATCACACTCTTAGAGGCCAAGGGGAGAGGCGATGGGGTGGGGGGAACTCGTGGAGGGGGAACTGGACAGTGGGACATTTGAAATGTAAATAAAATAATTAATAAAAAAGTAATAATAAATAAATAGTCTTGGAGTCATCATTTTTGGGAGTTGGGGCCGGGAAAAGAAAACTTGGATTATGTATGTATGTATGTATGTATGTATGTATGTATGTATGTATTTAAAAACTAGACAGTACTGGGAATGGCTAAGTCTGGAGTGCTTGTTTTGGTTCCAGCTAGTTAGGCAGGGATTCTTTACCGTGTCACAAAGGGTGTATGGGTCAAGAGCACCAGTGGAGTGTTCCTCACTCTCCATTTTTCTTTCTAGTGCCACAGTCACTAAACTGTACGGTCAGCTCAGGGAGCGCGGGACTGTTCCACTCTGCAGTGTGACACTGACCCCCAAAACAGTCATGAGACAGTGGTCCAATCGAGACCGGGGTCAGGCAAAGCGGAAGAGCGTCACCGCCATCGATCTTTCTGGTGCCGCCATAGTTGCGACTCCATTCTGTTACTTAATGGAGTCCCAAACTGTTGAGCTTCGGTTTTCTCATGACCGCCAAACCCAGTATCAGAGTCAGGTCGCAGGAGGCCAGGGAAACGGAGCGGAAGTTCTTCACCCGCCATCTTTCTTCATGGCAACGCCACCGTCACTGCTGTCTCCATCCAGACGGCTGAGGGAATTTGGGGTCGCCGGACCTCAGGCGGCTGTAGGACCGCTCCACCCTGGAGCCGCGTGAGGCTACCTGAGGTCCGGAGCTCAGCTATGGTGAGCATCGGGGATGCGGGGCGTGCACGCGGGTCCCTTCTTCCCGGGAACCGCGGCGAAGACTGCAGCTGCGCGCGGACTCCTGGACGGCGGGCGGCCGAGGATCCGCCGCCCCGGACTGTGCGTGCGGTGCGGGACCGGCGCGGGGTGGGGGCGATGCACCGTAGCTTTGTTTTGCTTTGTAGAACCTGATTTTCCTGTCTTTCCAGTCCATGGGAAACAGCTTCTGAAATCCACAGATTTGTTCTCCATCCAAATGCTTTTGTTGTTGCTGCTGTTGATTGACAGCTGAAATCCCTCGGTTCCCAAGTCCTCCCCGACATTGCGAAACTCACTGGACCGGGCGATCCATCGGTCCCTGTGAGAAACAAGGAGTATGGCCGTCTGTGATGCAGTGGGACAGTTTGTAGGGATTCAACTTTTTTAATGCTGAGGTTTGACTTTATATGAAAAGACTATTAGAAATAGGGAGAAGACCCGGGATAAGGAGTGTGAAACGTGTCAAGCGGTAGCTCGAAGAGAAGGGCTTGTCTTAGAGTGCTAAGAGTATTAAGGTACGGGCTTATTAGTGCTTAATAGTATTTTGTGGTTTTTGATCAGCCAGTCATTTTCAGGCAACAAGTGAACAATTTGGGAATTGATTTTTCTCTTGAGTCAGAGTCTAGTTTCAGTCATCTGCATGTAGAAATCCAGTATTAACTCCATTATTTATTGGTTATTCTGTTCTTTCTCTGGTATATATTTTTGGCACCTTGGTTGGCCAAACGTGTGGGTTTACTTTTATTTTCTCTTTTCCATTGGACTGCACATCTGTATTTATGACACTACTCTGTTGGGTTTTGCTTCGTTCTGTTCTGTTTATTTTCATTACAGACCTGCAATGTGTTTTGAAATCAGGTAAAATGAAGCATGCAGTGCTCTTTTTTGCTGAGGATACCTTGGGCTCCCCTGGGTCTCTTGCACTTTCATAGCAATTTTAAGAATTGTTTCTAGTTGTGTGTAGAATGTGATAATTTAATGGAAATTTCATTGAATCTGAATTATGACTTTGAATCATTTTAACAATATTGATTCTCCTAATCCATGATCATGGTAGTCTCTTCTTTCCTCTTCTAGTGTCTTGTTTAATTTCTTTCTTATTGAAAAAAATTTCACACAGTGTATTCTGATTACACCTTTCCTCCCCCGAAGTACTCCCCAATTTCCCCACCTTTCTGCCCACCCAACTCCAAACCCTCTCTTTCTTCCTCTTTATTTCTTTCTTCTGTGACCTAATACAGCCTTTGTAGAACATTTTCACATCATCAGTGAGGCCTGACTTGGGCATTTTAGTTTATGTGTGTATGTGTTATGACTTTCTGACAGTGTATTTCTAAGATAGTTCATTATTTGTTGAGAGAAATTGTGTGTTGCTTTTGTACCCTTGCTAAATGCTTTATAGTACTAGGAGCCTTTTTGGTGTAATCTTTTGAACTGTCCTTGTTTTTCACAGATTTGTGTTCCTTTTTACGCAGAAAGTATAACTGTGTACCCCTGGCTGACCCTGAACTCTTAACCTTGCTGTCTTAGCCTCCCATATACTGGGATTCCTGGTGTACACTGCAGTAACAGGTTTGGGTTTTCCTCTTTATGTATTGAAACAAGGATGGTTTGACTTCCTCCTTTCTGATTTATATACCTGTTATTGCCTTTGCTTGCATAATTTCTCTGGCTAATAGTTTAATACTATATATTCAACAAGAGTCATGAGTAGTCACCTAGTGTTTTGTTTTTTTCTGATCTTTCAGACAATGCATTCAGTCCCCCCCTCCCCATTTAGAATGTTATTCCTAGTGTCTGTCATACAAGCCTTTACTATGTTAATGTATGATTCTCCTGTGCCTACTAGATTCTGAGCTTTTATCATGACACGGTGTTTAATATTATCAAAGACTGTCTTGCATTTAAGATCAGTTATGCAATTTTTAAGTTCTTGACTTTGTGTGGCGTTATACTTATTAATTTGCATATATTATAAGGAATCTTTACACACACTTGACTATGACTTGTCAAAGTGCTTGAATTTATTTTATTTATTTTATTTTTTTCCATTTCAGTGTATAATGTGGTTTCTATTCATGGGAAAAGGAAAAATGTGAGCATGTTTCCAAGTAAAGATTTCCTCTCATCTTTTTATTATTATATATTCATCCTACAGAGCAGTCTGGCTTCATTTTTGTTTTCCTGTAATAGTTTCACAGTCCAAGTCTTATAAGTACCCAGCACTGGTGTGGGCCACCATGGCCAACTTTTCATGTGAGCACTAGGGATCAGAAACTAGTTCTTTGTGTTCAGGTGGCAAGCAGGTTACCAACTAGCTGTCTTCATGGACTTGGATTTCTTAATATTTTTTCCAAATTAAGTATTTTTGATCTTGTACAATGTAGGAAAGCATTTCAGAGTGTTTTTTGGTTTGGGGGGGGGGTGTTTGGTTGGTTGGTTGGTTTTTTTTAGTTGGCTTTTTTGTGTGTTTTTTGATTTGTTAATGCCTTATCACCTTATAGGTGATGTATTTTGGAGAAGCTTTCATCTGATGCTGAGAAGAGTGTGTGTTTTGCACTTGTTTGATAGACTTCCTGTAAATGGCTGTTAGGTGCATTTGATCTGTGGTACAGTTTAACTCTGAAGTTCCTCAGTTGCTCTATCTATCTATCTATCTATCTATCTGTCTGTCTATCTATCTATCTATCTATCTATCTATCTCTGGGTGATCTTTTTGTGATAACAGGATAATGAAGCCACGTACTGTTATTTTGTTTAAACCTTTTTGCCCAGTACTCTTTGCTTGAAAAATATTCAGCTCATTTATATTCATATGAGACATTCTTTATGGGATATACTCTTTATTTATATGTAGAGGTCTTTTGAGTTATTAGTCAACTGTATAAAGATATATTGAGAAATAATTATATTACCTCAATATATCTGATCCCCTTCTAACAATGCCATTCCCCTCACTTATATTTCCCTTAGCATTTTTGAGGAAAAAAATAAAATCCTTTTGCATTATCATAGTAGATTATCCTTCATAGGTCTTTCAAAATATATAAGATTGCCTATAAGATACCAGGTACAAGCTTTCTGAAGTTTCTTTGAGCAGTCAAAGAGGATGTGCACAGTTTTCTAAGAAAGGAGTTGGAAGATGAAGTTTTCATTCTATATTATCTGTCAGATCAGATTATTGAAGACTAGTCTTCTAGATGGTATTTTCATTCTGATCAAGTAGGATCCTTCTGATAAGCATGTCAGAAGCTTGAAGACATTTAGAGAGACAATGGGAGTTAAACAAGTAGTGCATTGCTATCATAAACTAGAACACTGAGTCCCTCTCCACAAGTATTCTGGTGAAATCCATCCAATTTCTAGGTTCCAGACCCCAAGGGAAGTTGATTTTTTTTAATTCATGTACATGGCTGTATATTCTTGCACAAGTACAATTGCACATTTGTACACATGCATGCATGCGTGTGGAAATCAGAATGATATCTTGGGTGCCACCCCTTGGGAATCTTGTCCATCAGGCTTTTTGCCTGAGCCTACCAATTGTCCTAGATTGGCTGACAACTATGTACCAAGAGTCCACCTGTCTCCACCTCCCCAGTTCTGGGATTATAAGTGTGTGACACCATGTCCAGCAATTTTATATGGGTTGGTGGGGGTTGAGAGTGTATAACTCAGGATCTCTGGCTTGAAAGTCCAGCACTTTTCCAAGCCCCATTCTTATGCATTTTTGAGATTAGTCTCTAGACAGCTGGTGCTAACTCTATTATGGATACTGACTAGTGGGGGTTGTTTTGTTTTGTTTTGTTCTATTTTGTTTTGTTTTGTTTTGTTTTGTTTTTAAAGACAGAGACTCACTATGTATCCCTATCTGACTAGGAACTTACTATGTAAGACTGGCCTTACAAGGAGATCTGCCTGTCTCTGCCTCCCTAGTGCTGGGATTAAAGGCATGGGCTGCTATGCCTAGCCTAGTAGGATTTTTTTTTTTTTTTTTTTTTTTTTTTTTAATGACGGGTGCATCAGAACCAGTACCGACTTTACTGGGATGACCCGGCTGCATAACAGGCATCTGCTTTGCTTTATAATGAAGTTGCAGCCTAGCATATAATTATATTGTTAAAGAGTGCATTACCTGGATTGAGCATTTAAACAGCGCAGCATTCTATAAACCTCATATGCACTGAGTCTAGCGTTCCAACGCTGAGTCTCACCTTTCCTCCTAAAAAGACTGTGTTGTTTTTTAGGAGTCTGTATCCTTTGAGGACGTGGCTGTGCGCTTCACCGCAGAGGAGTGGGCTTTGCTGGATTCTTCCCAAAAGAGGCTACACAGAGATGTGATGCTGGAGACCTGCAGGAACCTGGCAGCCATAGGTAAGAAAAAGATCACTGCTGTGTTTAGTCCATGAGAAAACAGTACTTTTGCTGATCAGTTACGCTCTATGACTTGTACAATAACAGAAATTTTGGTAAATAAACCAGTCATGATCCTGTTATACCATCAACCTACTTAAAACCTAGTATTTTTCTATAGTGTTGTATTAACTCAAAGTGATTTTTCTGGATCTGCATTCTAGCAGAAAAACAAGAAGACTGGATCCTTGAAGCTGGCTCTGAAAATGTAAGGAAGCCTCTTCCCATTTCAGTTCAGCCTGAAGACAAACTATATGAGAATCAAGGATACACAGGGAAACGAGGCGCATGTCAGGAGTGTGGGAAATTCTTTAGTTCCCCCCAAAGTTTTCTGGAACATATGAAGACTCACACTGAAGAGAAAACTTATAAATATAAGCAAACTGAAGATTTTAGCAGACACAGTTTTGTTCAGGGGCATGAAAGAATGCGTGCTACAGAAAAGCCCTGTGTTTTAAAGCAGAGTGGGAAAGACTCTTTGACTCTTGCAGGTATTCAACAGCACATAATAACACATAATGGAGGTGGGCCATATATATGTAAAGTATGTGGTAAAGCCTTTCACTCTTCCAGTTCTTTCTTGACACATAAAAGAACTCACACTGGAGAACAGCTTTATATATGTAAGCAATGTAACAAAACCTTCACTTATTCCAGTGGCCTTCGCCGTCACGAAAGGACCCATAGTGGAGAGAAACCCTATGAATGCAAGCAATTTCTGAAAGTCTTTCCTTCGTTGAGGAAGGTTGAAAGTCATGAACAAACTCACAATGGAATAAAATACATATGTAATCAATGTGGGATAGCCTTCAGCGATCACAGTTCCCTTCAGTGCCATGAAAAGATTCATAGTTTAGAGAAACCCTTTGTATACAAGCAGTGTGGGAAGACATTCACTTGTTCTAGTGCCTTGCGAAGACATGAACGAATTCATACTGGAGTGAAGCCCTATGAATGCAAGGTATGTGGGAAAGCCTTCATTGATTGCAGTTCTCTTCAGTGTCATGAGAGGATCCACAGTGGAGAGAAACCTTATGTATGTAAGCTGTGCGGGAAAGCCTTCAGTCGTCAGGGCTCTCTGAAATGTCATGAAAGGATTCACAGTGGCGAGAAGCCCTATGCATGTAAGCAGTGTGGGAAAGCCTTCATGCATCACAATGCTCTTCGATACCATGAACAGATTCACAGGGGAGAGAAGGCCTATGGCTGTAAGCAGTGTGGGAAAGCCTTTGTGTTGAGCAGCGCACTGAAAAAACATGAGCGTGTCCATAGTGGATTGAAACCTTGTCTATGCAGGGTGTGTGGGAAAGCCTTCACATTCCATAGTTCCCTCCATTGCCATGAAAGAACTCACACTGGGGAGAAACCCTATGTATGTAAACAGTGTGGGAAAGCCTTTATGTATCACAGTTCTCTGCGTTGCCATGAAAATATTCACAGTGCAGAGAAACCCTATGTGTGTAAGCTGTGTGGGACAGCCTTCACTTATCACAGTTCTCTTCAACGCCATGAAAGAATCCACAGGGGAGAGAAACCATATGTATGTAAATTCTGTGCAAAAGCCTTCACTGATCACAGTTCCCTACGATGCCATGAAAGAATTCACACTGGAGAGAAACCATATGTGTGTAAACAGTGTGGGAAATCCTACAGTACTCATGGTTCCCTTAGATACCATGAAAGGGTGCACTGTGTGTGAGCTATGTTGGACGACCTTCTCTTTAAATAAGTTTTAATCTCATTAACTTAAAAAACAAACAAACAAAAAAACATATGATTGTAAGCTATGTGAATAAGCCTTAGCATATTCTGGTTCCCTTAAACAAAACATGAATGGAGACCCAGTGGAAACTTATCTCTAAATAGAGACTAAAAGAAAGCTCCATATCTTTCTAGCAAACATGATGGCATAATGAATTTAACTTGGATCAATGTAAAGCATGTGGAACTCTCTCTACTTGTCTCAGTTCAGTTCTCAGAAACCACTATGGGGATGAAGAAATGGCTCAGTTTGTATAGTCCTTGCCGTAGAAGCATGAGATCCTGGGTTTACATCCTCGGCACCTGGATAAAAGCCAGACATGACGCACATGCCTACAACCCCAGTGCTAGGGAGGCAGAGACAAAAGAGCCCCTAAGACTTGCTGGTTAGCTAGTCTACTCAGGTCAGTTCAGGTCCAGTAAGAGTTCTCAAACAATAAAGTGGAGCATGATTAAGAAAGACACCCAGCACACAAAAGGCAACAGTCTGGACTTCCCTACAAGGCTTTTGTCATACATCAACCTCTGGCCTCTGTGTGCAAATGCAGTGTGTACCCACACGTGTGAACACTCATCCACATGGTCGTGCAATGTGGGGCAGTGGGCTATGCGACCCTGCACGACAATGCACACCACACACATAAAAGAGCACACCATATCCAGAACCTCGATTAGAAGAAACCTGCAAGTCTTCAGTTGGTCCGTATATCAAAATACACAGTCAAAACCTTATAAATGTAGGTAGAATTGTCTTTTGTAGCATACAGTGTCAAAGTCTGATGCAGTAGGACTCTGTTAACACAAGTAATGTGAGGAACCTGGTGTAAAATAATTTGTGTAGAATGCTTTAGAAATTTCACTGCTTAGAGGAGGGTTTGTCAGGGGCACATTCGTAGGTAGATCTGAATAATACAGTATACTCCTTATCTTATTCTTGAAAATAAATGTTTTAGTGAGATTATTTAATAATGTTAAATAGTTGCTTAATCTGTAGTTTCACTGTTAGTAAAGTCAGTTGATACCTTTTCCTGCTTTTAATTTAAACATTGAATTGATGCCTTTCTAATAATTTTCTAATTTTCTAATTTTTATGTATTTTTAAAATAATTGTGTCTAATGGACCTATAAAAATGTTTAATTGAGCTGGGAAAGTGACTCAATGGAAAAGCATCAGGACTGAGGTCGTATCCCGAGTACCCATGTAAAAAGCCACATGTAGCCAAAACATGCCTGTAATGTCATTGCTGAAAGTGGGGATGGTGCTGGAATGGGGGATGGGACTTGCTAGCCAGTCGATCTAGGTGAAAAACAAGCACCAAGATTAGTGGAAGACCATGTCACAAGCGAAGATGCAGAGGCAGTAGAAGAGAACGCCTGAAGTTGTCCCTGGCTTCCATTCATACAAGCTAGGTGCTCATACAAAAGGCAGTTAATAGTCTGGATTTTCCTGCTAGGCTCTTGTCATGGATCATATATATATATATTCAGAACAAATGACTTTGAAAGTGGATTTAATTATTTTTCACCTCTTTTTTACCTTAAGAAAACCAATAGCTTTATTTTTTTCTCAAATACACAGTTAGGAAATTAGTCTGAGAAGAGATTTTGTGATGTAAACTAGATAAAGTATGTACAGAATCTAAAAAGTGCTAGACAGAAGCCCCACAGCCTAGGGCCTGCCCATCAGAGGGGAAGCCAGGTCTTTGATGGTTTTAGAGTTCACAAGAGGGATTCTGATCTTCAGGAGTCGGCTGCTGGCATACTTGACAGTGATGAACTTGGTGAGGTTTTTCATTGACTTTCACAACATTCTTGGCCATGTGCTGCATGACTCCCAGTGCATCACTCTCCGAGTACCCTGTGTAATACTGCTGCTTTACATTCTATTTTCCTTGACCCAGCACCGTCCGAGTCAGGCAGGAAGCAGCAGCTGCAGCCTGGGAACTGTGATGTCATCACTGATGAGTGCCACCTCCATCAGATGCTTGGCTAAAGTGTGTTCAACCTTAAGAAGTAGAATGGCAAAGGCCAGCCCAACTCCAATTTCAACTCTTTCAAAATCAGTCTCCATTTCTCAGAGTTGGGAGCCGGTATAAGCATTGTCTGTGATATAAACAAAGCCTTCAATACTCAGAAAAAACATCATATTTGGAAGTCAGAAGCAGAGCTGCGATCCCAACCAGCTGCAGCTTCTCTCTGCAGGCCAGCTGAACCTGTAGGAACTGGTCTATGATGGCAGTGCACATGTATGGAGTTTCCTGTGGAAGCCTAAACTTGGAATGCACTTAGACCAACTTTGTTTCCAGTTTCTTCTAAAACTACCCACTCATCAGTCGCATGACTCTTAGCTTTAGGATTAACTCCTGCATCAAGATTCTTCAAATCACTGGACATCTTGGGGCATCAGAGTAGCAACGTGAGGGCCATCCTGGGAAGTGTAGATGAGGCACTGTGGTCCACGGCACCACAGGTCAAGTAAGAATCCTGTGCATGGTTTATAGTTTTAACTATTTTCAACAGTATATATATATGTGTGTGTGATTTTTTATATATATATTGACAACATATCTAAAAATAACCATAAAGAGATCAACTTCACAATTTTTCAAATTTTTTTGTCAATCATTATTGCCAAAATGCTGATGAAAATCCCTTATGTAGTGGGATCCTATTAATTAATGCTCTATTCCTATGTAAATTTTATCATATTTATGTTACAGCTTTTTATCATAATTTTCTCTTACCAAAAGATACATCCTACTGGTTTAAGTGTACTCTGGCCAGAGATCACCAGTAACAGATTGCAGTAATAAATCTATCTACATACCATATCTGATTTGTTCATCAGAAATATCATTTTCTTTTACTTTATTATTTGGTGTGTGTGTGTCTGTGTGTGTGTGTGTGTGTGTGTGTATGATGTGTAAGCATTGTGGGTGTGGTAGGTGCATAGATGTGTGTGCCTCTGTTCCTTTGGAGGCCAAAGGAGGATGTCCTCTGCCCTACTCTTTGCCTCAGTCAGTCCCTTGACCCCATGTCTCTCCCTGAACTAAGAGCTAGGCTAATAATCATCCCTTGATGTTGAGTCTCTAGGTAAATGTTTAGGTAAATTGTCATAGTAGAATCCTAAGAAGGAGCCTGCATAGCTCTGTAGTGCAGTAAAGGTCTCACTGCACAGACGTAACTTCCAAACATCTCTTGCTTGACAGTGTAAAGTAGGAACATAGAAACAAACACAAACCACGTAGCTGCTTTAATCATAGTGTAGATGTGAGAACATACTATTTGCAAATTTTTGAGCCAAGAGAGTTGGTGAACCAAGGTTGAAACACCCACTCAGAGCTATAAAGAATATTAGCAGGTGACACAATACAAAAGCTGAGGTGTGTGTCAGTCTTTGTGGAAATTCACTATGTAAAGAAAGCTTTCATTTTTGGCCTAATGTGTCAGCTGGTGTTCTTGGCACTGGCACACATAAACACAAGACTAGATAACAAATCTGTTATGTTATTTAGCAAATGTGATATCTATTAGTCATCTTTTAATATTACAGTCAGTTCATATTAGCCTTTAATCTAAATGTGATCATGTTTATGTATGGAAAAACTCTTGCCTGGGGGATGGGAGGCACAGTGAAATTGTGTGCTTGCTTTACATGTATGAGGCCTGAGTTTGATCCCCAACACCCACATAAAAAGCTGAGCTTAGCCACAAACACTGGTGATGTCAGTAGAGAGGGCCAGACCCAGCAGATGGCTGAGCTTCCTGTCTGCTCCCTGACTCTAGATTCTGTGAAAACCTTTCTCAGGAGAATAAGATGGAGAAAGAGAATGACACCTCATGCCCTCCTCTGGCTTCTCTGCACCCACAAGTGTGCAGGCATATAAACACACACCACACACGAAAGAAAAAAAAATGTTTTAATTCTGGATTCTAAAGACAGGAAAGCTGCCTAGAGATGGTACTGCCCACAGTGGACTGGGCCCTCCTACATTAGTTAGCAAGAAAATGCTGCACAGACATGACATGCCCACTGTTGGGTGGCAGCATTGCTCAGGTGAGATTTCCTCTAATCAAGTGTGTCAAACTGACAACTGACGCTGCCTGTGACAACCAGGCAGGCTCAGTCTAGTTTGATTCTACCTACCATTGACCTATTGTTGTCTAGACTTCAGCCTAGTCCTCAACAGTAGACTTACAAGTCATAAATCCCCTTCTGGCTGACACCTTATCTCCAAATTTAAGATTCTTGGGGAAACATATTTCTTGAGGTTCATTATTGATTAGTCTGGTAGATTAGAAGACGTGTCTCTTAAATATCTTCATTTCTGTGAGGCTGGCTACAGAGGCTGAAAGAGTCCACCAAACGTGAAGAAATAAAATGTTCACCCTGGAGAGTCAAGAGTAAGTTCTGAAATGGTTACTCCCTGAATGAATTTTTTTGACATGAAGGCTGTTAGGTATGGTTGAGGAGGTTTATTGTAAATAAGAGGAACAATACAGCCAAAGAAATCTAGAAGGGTCCAGACTGAACATGGCTAGCAGACTAAACTGGACCATGAGAGGAGAGGTTTCGGAGAGCAGGAGAGGAGAGAATGGGGAAAGAGGACCAAGAGAGATCCAGAAGCCAAAAGATAGCAGGACCAGAGGCTGGGGGAAAGGAAGTCCAGCCTCAGGCCAGCAGAGGGTTAGGATAGGGAGTGAGTGTGGGGAGAGCTGACCAGTGTCTGCTTTGATCTGTTAGTAGGCACCTCAGTCATTTGTCCAGGTTTCTGTGCGACCTAACACCCTTCAAGATGGGCCAAAGTGGCTGTTTTTTACCAGCCTGCTCCTTTCGGCCCAATCTCATAACTTTAATGCAGCGCTCTCTTGGACAGAGTTAAACCGTGTGCTGTGCAGTGACAATTCTCTATAGTACCTGGCTCCTCCTTGCTCCTCTTACAGTATGCTGAACCAAATCACGTGATACGAAAGTTCTTGCCCCCTAAAAGGTAATATTTTAAAAACCAGACCTTTTTATTTGTTCTGGAGAGTAGTCTGAGACACCTCAGGAGGATAGATAGTTCGGGAATTTGGTCCAGACATGAAGGCTGTTCTCTGAGGCTCTTCTGTTCTCCCCTCCCCTTCTCAAGGTCAGTCTGTCCACCTCTGCCTGCCCCTCGTCTCTACCTCCTTCCCCTTATCACCTCCCACCCCCACCCTCCTGCCAGGCTTTGAACGGAAGCCTGCCCCTTCTTTTAAGGCCCTCTGTTTTAGATCTGCATAAATTGTACTGTTTCTAATGGTGTCCCTTCCACCTATGGGGCTGATCACGGCTTGAGGCGCTTTATAATAAACCTCATTCCTAAAAAGAATTTCCTTTGTGGAAGAGCTGCTGGAACTTCTTCTTAACTTCTAGAACGTATAGTTTTTAATGTTTTCATTAGCATGTATTAATTACACGGAATGTTCCATTATAACACTTTCATTCATGTGCATAATGTATCTTGTTTATATTCACACCCACGGAGAACTTTTGCCCTCTCTTGTCCCCGGCTCGAATCCTTTCATCTTTCCTGTCTTTGTGTGTCCTAAAGAATCTTATTAATGTTGTTGACCGGAGAGGGAGTGACGTGTCAGTAAGAGGGAGGATAAATTTATTCTGTCACTCAGGCCTCAGGGACTGGATTTGTGTGCACCAGCAATGAGGGCCAAAGGAGAGGCAGGTACAAAAAGTCTCGGCGCCGAGAGGTAGCTCCTTGTCCGCCATCTCTCTTCCTGGCTGCTCTCGACAACCAACTGTGGGAGTCCGGGACAGTTTACTTTCCTCGGCTGTCTGACGTCTAACCCTAGGAACGCTCGTGAGGTCGGCAGGAAACTCCCGGTGCCGACGCCAGAGCTGCCCAATCAGGAGCGCCGGCGGGCGGAGCGGAAGTTCCTCACCCGCCATCTTTCTTGCTGGCGCCTCGCTCCTCACAGCTCCAGGCTGATGAAGTCCAAGTTGCTGACCCTGCCTGGCCGTGCAAGCGTCTGTTCCGGAGCCTCTGTAGAGCTGCGGCAGCCCCGGGCACAGACATGGTGAGCCAGGCGAGTGGAGGGGCTGTGCGAGACGCCCTTGGTCCGGGGCGGCGGGATCCCGGTGCCGCGCCGGGGCTCCCGACAGCGCTGCGCCGGGGGCTGAAGGGGGGCTGCACACTGTCGCCTGCGGCTCCAGAAGAGCTGCTTTTTCCCCTTAGGTGAAGTCAGACGAAAGCCGGATTCCGAGCTCCACCGCAGCCAAGAATTTGGAGGCTGGATGGTGTGGAGCAGAGCTGCAGGGTTAGGAGCCAGTTCTTGCGAGTGGGACTTGCCAGTACGCCCCGCCATGCACGGAGGCCAGCGGAGGTCACCCGGTGTCCTGCTTTGTCACGGTCCACCTTATTCCTGTGAGACCGGGTTTCTTAGGGAACCTGTGGCTAGGCTGCCTGCTAGCCAGCTCCAGCGATCCTCCCGGCTCTGTCCCCATGTCTGGCTTTTACTCGGGTGTTTTTTTATTTAAACTCGGGTTCTCACCCTTGCTCAGCGACCACTCTTAGCCACCGAGTCACCTCTCCAGACCCGAGACGTGTTTAATAGAGATCTTAAACGCAGAGATTAATGGAAGTGATCGTGGGAAGGAAGACTGAGACATACCCCGGCGTGAGTGGGCTTCTCAAGGGACAGTCACAGTTGTCTTCTATAGGTACATATAAGTCTTTGGCGGATCTCGCGTCTAGGATTGTAATATCCTCTTGGTAGATTATTCCTTTATAGAGTATGATCTTTATCCCTTCTGACTTAAGGTCTGAGGCAAGAACTTTTCAATTTTCGTCATCTCTGTGCGTATGGTCCTTGAGGGTTTTCAGGTTTATCTTTTACTCTTGGATTGAATACTGCTCTCACCTCTGTTCCTTTTTCCAGTAACAAATGCTTTTTTTGGAAATGACTGGACTTTAAGTCGTGGTCAGGTTCAAATCATAGTGAATGGCAAATGTATCGATTTTTTTTTTTTTGAGACTAGGATCTCACATATCCTAGGCTGTTATAAACTTAGTTTATAGCCAAGCTTGACTTTGAATTTCTGATAGCCTTTTGTCCACCTTCCAAATGCTGGGATTCTATGAGCACATCACTACCCCCTGGTTTTTGCAGCACTGGAATTTAAACCCAGGGCCTCATGCATGCTAGACAAGTATCTACCATGTACCAACTGAGCTACAGCCCCAGCCCTCTATCAGATATTATTCCTGAGTAACTTTTCTATGGTCATCACTTAATATTATTAATATTATATCACTTAATATTATACTGAACTTTGTCCTCGTGGTATATAATGGAATCCACTTAGTATTTATTTGACTATTAATTATCAAATGGCTATGTCTTTCTTTACATGTGGTTTAGATGTTTTAGTAATTTTTCCATCTTTACTGATGTGACGGTTTAGCTTATACTCAGCACATTCATCCTTCTCGATGTCTTGTATTGCAGATATTTTCCTTCTACTTTATTGTCTTTGTACCCCATTAATTTTGGCATCTTTCAATTTGTCAAGACATTTAACTGTTTTTCTCCTTTCAAATACAGAATTTTATATTAAAATTTTATAAATTATAGGACTCCCATCTCCCTCCTTTGATGCAATCTTTCTAACTCCTATAATAGGCACCACAGGAAACCAGACCAGATGTGCATTACTAGTCAGGTATAAAATTGAGCTCTCCTTACAAACAGACTAGAGTAAGAACTCCCCCAAGGAATAGGAAACAGTAGTTATGTTCTCAGGGAAATTGAAAATCCTGGATGCTGCCAGTCAAAGAATTGAAAACCCATC